AATTGTACATTTTGTTATGTACAACAGTAAAAATTGAAATAAATATAAAAAAAATACAGAAAATAAAAAGATTTTTTGTACGATAAGACTTTTAAAATTAATAAAATTGTACTAGAACGTGTATGTACAGTATATAGTAGTAATAAGTAGTGGATAATAGCGGTATAAAAATATTTGTTTCCATCGTTCCCTTTTTCCTAAGTAGAAATTAATAAATAGTGCACTTTTTTCGTTCTTATAGTTACCTTTTTTTGTAAGAATAAAAATAATTGAAAAAGATAATCTACTACGCGCAACACTTGTTTCATGTTTGTTTTTTCCGCCTGCGACCACCTTCCAACAGATACGAAACGTCGAGAACCTGTTTTGTTGGCATTTTACTCAATAAATTCAACAATATTTTATTTAACCTTGTTTTTTGTTCGGCCCTTGTCTGAAAACAAAACACATTTCAGATCAGTTCTACCTTTTATATGTATAAAATGGAAAACCCAAGTTATACTTAACAATTGTTGCTCACATTCTAAAGTGTACAAGTTAAAAAAAAAGTTTTTACCAAAACTCAACTCAACCCTCTACAAATAAATATGAAATTCTTTTAAAACTTTTTGGCTTTTTCATCTCCATCAACTGCTAATGCTAGTGAACGAGCAGTCTCTCCTATCTGTATTGTAGTGCAAAGTCTAAATATGGGAGGAATGCTCTCTTTCGCCTTCTTTTAAGAATAGTGGGAATGTGGTGGTTAGGAGAGATAAATAAGATGAACGAAATGAAGACAGAATAGAAGTGAAAGATTATCTGTGAAATATTATATGTAGTAATTTCCAGTATTTAGATTCAAGGAAAACATAGAAAAAGTTGGACCAGGGCAAACAAGTATGGAATGGAATCGAATCGGTGTCCTCCTGAATGTTAAATTATAATTTATACTTCTAAGCCTCTAGACCGCGCCGCCCGGTGATTAACGAAAACATTTTGAACGCCAAACAACATTTAAACGATAATAGCAAATTAAAATAAAAAAAAAATAACAGAAAAGATTGACTCACCTTTACAACGGGGACTGTACTAACTGTTGTTGTAGACGTTCTCTGGTTTGTTTCATCTTTTGCACCACTTGCAGTAGTCGTAATCTCTGGCTGATGCTGGCCGTCCTGTATCTTACGCCCGCGAGGTTTCACGAATGCGGGGTCCAAATCATGGGGTGTATACGTCCGTGATACTTTTAACCGTGTGTCGAATCTTTCGAAGGCGTAGCTCTTCGTACAAATTGGGAATTTGGTCTTTGAAATTTTACTGAAAAGTCTTGCGGATTTATCAACGCGATATTCGCAAATGTAGATGTGCTCTTCGGGGGCGCCCAACGGCCTGCCTTTGCAGTACGTATTTAGATCCATCACCCAGCAGTGACCTATAATCAGCTCTACCGGCACTGCTTCATACAGCGGCACTCGCATCACCTCGTTTGGGAAGAATCTTTATATTGAAAATAAATAAAACATCACAAAAGAAATTTAAATCAGAAGTACACATATTAAAATAAAATATTGGACCAGAATAACAGAAATACTTGAGAAACGTAGTTGTACTTACTTTCTTGTAGGTTCGTGGAAAGTTTCATGGGGCCTTAGATAATGATGTCCGTAGGCATACCGTTGTCCCGTTTGTGAATCCTTCCACAATCTTTCGATTCTGAATATGTCCAATTCGGTATACTCAATTTCACCTATTGTTTTGTAATCGTGTTTCTTATCAGTGCCAGGGATGGGAATATCTCTTAAAACGTACACAGTATCCCCTTGTCTTAATTGCAAGTCGTCACGAAGAAGAGTCATATAAAACCTTTTTTAAAGAAAAAAAGAAACAAAAATTAAAAGTGACTGATAATCTTAAACTAAAGAAGCGTTTGTAAAAATATTAAAAAACTTACCTGTGCCCATGTTCTGTGTATTCATCTAGGGGTATTTCAAAGTCGACAACACGAGGAGTACACCGTTCGCAATGATAACTGGGAGCATTAGGATCAGCCTTGATGCACTCGCAATGTTGCCACACTAAACATCTCTCACACTGTATCATGAGTCCCTCGTCACGATACATACCACATATGCAGCGTATTACGTCCTCTTCAACATCTAAAAGAAAAAATAATGAAGTGAAAACTTAAATATCTGTTTTTTTCAATCATGTACATGTAGCAAAAACCAGTACCTACTTACTTTTATTCTTTCGCGATATGAACTTGTCCGACACTTTTTCGCCAAGTACTTCTTCAAGCTTCGTGATGTGCTCCTGTTTTGCTTCCTGATACGATTTCTTCAGCCTGGTGGCGGCTATACCTGTTTCAGATGTACGTCCGAAGTATTTCACGGCGTTGTTAAACAAGCGCATCATGTCGCAGTCGAAGGAGTCGACATATTTGTAAACGCCTGTGGCAATGTTCTGCTCGATAGTTGTCAAATCTATTGGCTCAGTAATTCGGGCATAATACTCAGCCAGTTTTCTACGTGACGGCAAGGTGACAAAGGGTGTGCACAGGGCTTCACCATTTTCATCTAATATTAAATACTCAATTATGTTTAAGCAGTATAAAAACGAAAAACTTTAATTCTGTTTTGTCCAACTTACCTTTGGCACTTAACACAACGCCACAGAGGTCCTTTAGTACTGCGGCCAATTTGGCGGTTTTGTTTAGTTCCGGATCGTCCTCGGCTTGGGCCAATCGACGCGTTTTCATGTTACGCGGTTGTCGGATTGCATTCAGATGATTAAGAAAAGTGCTTGGACTGTTTCGGTGGTCCGTTATGCTTCCAGAATTACTTGATGCACCTAGCCCGCCAGTCGGCGTGGAGTTATGTGTCCGCCCCACCGATGTCGTACTCGCTGAACGTTCACGCAATCGTCTAACCCGTGTCAAATTCCGTGGCAAGAAACAATGATGTTCACGTACATACGCCCGTTGTGCACCCGTCATGGGCTTTACCGTTGGCAATAATGGAACGATTGGTAACAACGTTTGACTGGCAATCACCGATGCTGCGGAATCCGTTACCAGATTGGTTGCTGCGGGAGTTAATACGTTGGAGGTGGTTTCTTTTGGTGCACTGGAAGATCTTTTGGCTCTGTTTTTACGTGGGCGACCGACCCGACCTGCAGCTGACGAGCTCTGTTGTCGTGCCCTTTGAGATTTACCTCCTATAACGCCTCGGCAGTTTTCGCTACCACACTTGCACACTTGCCCGTCCGCTGGGTTGAACAAGGAGAAATTGTAATCGTACGTAAGCTCTTCGCCGGATCGAATATCACGAAGGGCAAAAAGTGCCATTCTAAACTGACCGTTTACGGACCATTTCTGCATCTCACAGTTTGGCTCGCAAGAATGATTAACAAACCGACCTTCACCGCCCATTCTGTGACCATCTATAACGAGACCACCATCTAAATGGAGACAATAGTGGTGAGTGTCGTGCGCGTATCGAGTTGCCATACGCTCTTTAAACTCCTGATCTGACACGACCTCGCCAACGTACTCTAAAATGAATTCTCCCGCCTTAATTGCGAGATTGGTACGCACGCCCCAACCTTTGCTCTCGGTCATGAACTTTTCGATGCCCGGCGCCCATTCGTGCCTCTGTATTTTCTGATTTTGACACTTGTGTGTTCCTGGGCACTCAACATACACCAAACGATTGATGCAATCGTCGCCGCAGCCAGACAGAGGGGTGCAGTTACACGCTTGCGTCTCGCATGCACCCATCGCTGTTGACTTGACGTTATAAACGTTGGTTCGTATTTTGCGGTAGTTCCAGGATGGGACTATGTCTCGACCGGGCAGTTGATTGTGTACGTGTTGCCACCAAAGATCGTAAGGTAGCTGAAAAGGCAATTTGCGGCATCTCAAAAATTTACCACAATGATATGGAGGGGGTAAAAGACCGTAGCGATGCTCTTCAGGTTTGTAGATTAACTTAGTTGGCCTATTCGCCGCTTCAGTTCGCCTTTGACGAACAATTTCACTAAAATAGAAACGGATAAAATTAAGTTTGAAAACCACATATTTTTTATCTTATTAACATACTCATCTTCTTTGTAATAATCGGAAAAAAGTCCGGCAACAAGGNTCAAAACGGCTCAAGAGCGGACTTGGTACGCCAACGTTTACGGATAAGGGCTGGCCCAAATCGAAATTACCTTTTGGATTAATTGCAGCCAAAATGGAACAACGGGTGCTTAATTTGCACACAATACTGGCCTATACTTAAAAGTTTTATTTTAATAAGATAGAAATACTTATTTGTTTTTTTTTTTTTTACTTTAGCAACACTAATAGTTTGCTGCTCCATTGCTTCATGTATGCTAGTTCGGTCGCGTTCTTTCATAGAATTAAACTCGTCAATACAACAAATCCCTCCATCGGCAAGGACTAGAGCACCCCCTTCCAACTGCCATTCTCCATTTTCCTAAATGAGATGTACATGGTATCAAAAACTAGACATTTTTGAAAAATAATAAATCTTTACCTGAATTGCAGTAACAGTTAACCCTGCGGATGTGGAACCGACCCCAGTTGTTAACACCGATCGCGGTATAATTTTGGCGGCAAATTTTAAAATTTGGGATTTCCCTGTACCTGGATCTCCGACGAGTAATAAATGCGACTCAGATCTTGTTCTGACACCTGTTTCTTGAATGTTTTGCATTCGGGAGCCACTAGCTAGCACCATTCCTACAGCTAATTTAACAGTGTGAAGACCATAAATCTGCAAAGCAACAAAACTTAGAGATTAAAAACAATAACTAATAAAACATTCATTTTTTACCTGAGGACAGATAGACTTTATTATAATATCACGTCCTAGGAGAGGCCGATTTCTGTATTTTTTCCAAAAAGAGTGAAAAAAGTTTTTTATATCTGGTGTAACCAAAACAGATGAACTTTGTGCATTATTTACTTGTAAATGATTTGCTTTCAAGATTAACTCAGCAGAAATCGTTTTATTTACAATTAGTGGGTCCCATCTACTTTTTAAAATCCCACTAAAATAGAAAAGGATTATTACTTGTTAATGTCTTATAAAAATATAAAATACTAACCACACTGTAATACTATCACCCGGTTTACAAATATCAACTAAATCATCTTCTAGAGTTACCCACATTGAACTAGGCATATTTCCCAAGCTAGATTTAGAAACCTGCTCCTGAAAAATGACTAAAGTGAATAACTTTTAATTATTCCTGTTTATATTTTCTCTTACTTGAATTTTTATTTCCTGGAAGTCTTTACAATTACTGGCATCCAAACAATTTAAAGGAATAATATTTAAATTTCCACACCCTTCAGGATTTAGACATTTCTTTGGTGGAAAAATTATATATTTCTGCTCATATACTGCATTGACTGTCATTTGATATTTACATTTCGAACATTTGTAATCTCTGCGAAATTCTAGCATTTTTACAAGGGTTGTTCGTACCACAGAACCTGAATTAATACTGATCTATTAATTTAAGTCAACATTACTTATATTAACTTACCAGTTATTTGTAAAAACAAGTGCAAATCAATACTTCTGGGAATTGAAATTCTATGTTGATCATGACAAGAGGGCAAGCCATACACTCTGGTATGAACAACTTTTTCTAAAATTTCAGTGGTATTTAAGTTGACTGCTAAAATGTTTTGTATATTAACCAAAGCTTCGTCCAGGCTTTCCAAAACTTTTTCAGCATCTTTTAAAATCATGTTACCTAGCTTTGGATCATTTTCAAATAGTTTTACGAAACTAAAATCAAATGTTAAAATATTTATTGCTGAAGAAGGATGTGTGTATTTTACCTTATGTTTAAGGACAAGTGCTTGATTTCTTCAGGAGCTGCTGTAAGAATCTTTGTCAATTCTTCTTTATGATACGTTAGAAAGTACTCTTGGAACATTTTATTAAGAAATTTTCACATGATACTAAAGAAAATTCTAATTGATTCTAATAATATTAACAAATACAACTTAAGTGTCAGATTTAAATCGATTTAAGTTTAGTTTGGTTGGTAACCATGCAAAATCAAAATATTGTGTTTAGAGAAACAGTAAACGTAAGTTTTTCAAGAATCTAAATAAAAGTTAAGATTAAAACTTATGCTAAACTTGTAAAAGAATATAAAGAATTCAAGAAGTATAAAAACTAATTAATTAATCAGTAAATTAAATATTTGTTATTATTTATTAAAGCTCAAAAAGTGTCATATCTACGGGTGTGAATGTGAGAGCGAGAGCCACAACTGAAAGACGACAACATAGATATGTTGGCAAAAATACATAACCTGTTTTTATTCTAGTATAATGGATTCAAAAGTACAAAAAAAATTAATATCGCTTTCAGAAATAACTAAAGCACAGTTATCAAAAATACTTAATTCATGTTCAACTCCGAAAGATTTAATATTTGATCGAAACATCATCAAACCTTTTGAGCGAATATGTGGTGTAAGGTGGCTCAAGTATGTTTTCATTTATTAACGATACAGTAAATTTTAATAGTCATATTTCAGAGAACACAGGATTGATAAAATCTATAAATTGAGCGCCCTTCCTGCTACCATATCAAACAACACCCAGTTTTATTTTATTTACACAGACTACAGATCCTTTCAAGATGTAGTTAATAAAATCAGGTCTTATTTGAATGTCGAAAATCCAGATCATAACAAATTTCACGTCGTTATTATTCCTAGAGTACTAACAAGCTTTGAATATACCTTAGAAGAATTTGGACTGTATGAACCAGTAATAAAATTAATTCCTTTCCAATGGTTTCCAATATATTTAGACAAAAGCATATTGTCTCTAGAAATACCAAAGCTATTTAGAGAAGTTTATTTAAAAAAAGATCTATCACTATTACCTATTTTTGCTAAGAGCCTCTGGCATTTATCTTTTGTGATTGGGAAACCAAAATTTACATTGGTTCTAGGTCAAAATTCAAATGCGGTCCTTTCACAAACAGAAATGTATTTCACAGAACTACCAAAAACTGACAAACATGAGTCAGACTTTGGGGGATTGGTGATAATAGATAGAAACATAGATTATCCTAGTTGTTTATTAACACCTGCCACTTATGCTGCATTGATAAATGAAGTTTATAAAGTAAATTGTGGATTTTGTGAATACAAACCTCATGATGATGAAGCAAAATATGACAACAAATACAATCCACGAGTCGCAAAACAGCCTGTTTCTTTCATGCTTGATTCAGAACGTGATTCTGTTTACAATGACATAAAAGATCGTTATTTTACTGACGTAACTTCGAGACTATCTATTTTAACGAAAAATTTAAAGTCTGAAAACCCTACATCAAGAGAAATGGCTTTGGACGAAATAAAAAAGTATGTAGCAACGCAACTGCAGGCTGCTACATCCAAGAAGAAGTTCATAGCGACCCATTTAGCGGCGGCTGAAACAATTATTAATACCCTGGGACACCGATTCGAAAGACAAATTGACACCGAACGTTCGATTCTTTTAAATAAAAACAAAGGGGAGAATTATGCTTTCTTGGAACAAATATTAACGACAGAAAATGACAAGTATATTTGCCTAAGACTTTTTTGTTTACTTGCCATAACGCAGAAATTAACGGATAATGAAATTTGGAACTTTTTGAATCGATTTTACGCCGAATACGGTTATAATTACGGTTTTCTAAGAAGCCATTTGATCAAATGTAACTTCCTCACACCTGATAAGGAGATTTCAGTGACCAATTTACAAAATATAGTCACTAAAATACCAAAATTTACTACTAGTAACTTCTACGCAACAGCGAACAAACTTAAACAAATTCCTAATAATCCAGAGAAGATTAATCTTAAATCGCCCACTTGTTGTAGCTACGTTTATGGGGGTAGTTATATCCCTATTGTAACACAGATTGCAGCGATGTTACTCAATGCAATTCCTCTTGCTGAAATCAAGGCAAAACTTGAATCTCTCGGACCATTGACAATAAAAAACGAAAGAGAAAGTTATCCCCTACAACAGAAATCACTTTTAATTTACGTAGTAGGAGGGTTAACGTACGCAGAAGTGGCTGCATGTAATTTACTAGAAGCATTAACGGGGAGTAAGATTGTTCTACTGAGCGATCGAATTGTGACTGGCAATGATATTATGGAGGGCTTACTACAGGCTCCTGGACGATGATCAATGGAATTATTTTACAAGTTAAAATACTCAATAACAACAAATACTGAAATATAAATATATCAATGACTACCTAAACATATGAACAATTGTAAATACCATGACAAACCTATTTTCTATCAAATAAGTTAAATAAATAAAGTTTTTGTTTTGCATTTCGAGGTTTTCATTGCATCAATAAATACGAAAAAATACCAGAAAATGCAACAATTTTTTATTAAAATTATTCCACTGAATTACAAATATAATATACAATACAATAACCTCGATCTAATAATTATTATCATCCGGGCAAGAAATTTAAACAGCAAATCAACAAATTCGTTCGTTTTGCAACAAACAAATCGCTCACACGATGCCGAAACCAGTCTCATATATTATTTACTTTTTCTCGTAATTGTTACCCTCATTCAATCTCATCACTTGAATCACCGTTACACAATTTTCTATACAGATCTAGAGGAGTGTACGATTATTATTATTACATAACGCAATAAATAAGTATAGTAAATATATATAATATGTATATGTGTATTTCAAAAATTAAAGGCCATTCCGATCACTGGTAAATCAATAACAGATCTGTATCAGAATATATTTTGACTTCACCTTCCAACGCAGGTCATTCCTAACATGCAACACTAAATTATTTATTATTCGATTAATTGTTAAACAATTTTTTTAAGATTGCGTCCTCCCCACGTAAGTAGTCGCTGTGGTTTCTCAAGTCACAATTAAAATTACATACACGAAAAAATATACGAAAAGTTACCCAAAAATGCCGCCTGCAATTTTAATTAAAAACAAATGCCCAGCATTAAAGATGAATTCTTTCCTTAACGTTACCTAATTAATGCGTTTAAAAGTGAATTAAGTACATTTTTAAATAGTTTAATATAGGAAAGAATTAAAAAAAGTTGCGGGGGCCTTGCTTGTTTAACTGAACAATTAAGAATTGCAATAAATGCACAATAAATATACAAACCTTAAAACATTAACAATCATATACACATACGAAAATAAATAGTTAATAATAATAATAATGATAAACACAATTTGGAATAAAATTACCAACAACAAGAGAAAGTATGACTAGCAGTGATAACGAAAAGCCACGATTGTTTTGTTTTTATACCCTAAGCAATTAATGAGGAAGAAGCAATTGTACATTTTGTTATGTACAACAGTAAAAATTGAAATAAATATAAAAAAAATACAGAAAATAAAAAGATTTTTTGTACGATAAGACTTTTAAAATTAATAAAATTGTACTAGAACGTGTATGTACAGTATATAGTAGTAATAAGTAGTGGATAATAGCGGTATAAAAATATTTGTTTCCATCGTTCCCTTTTTCCTAAGTAGAAATTAATAAATAGTGCACTTTTTTCGTTCTTATAGTTACCTTTTTTTGTAAGAATAAAAATAATTGAAAAAGATAATCTACTACGCGCAACACTTGTTTCATGTTTGTTTTTTCCGCCTGCGACCACCTTCCAACAGATACGAAACGTCGAGAACCTGTTTTGTTGGCATTTTACTCAATAAATTCAACAATATTTTATTTAACCTTGTTTTTTGTTCGGCCCTTGTCTGAAAACAAAACACATTTCAGATCAGTTCTACCTTTTATATGTATAAAATGGAAAACCCAAGTTATACTTAACAATTGTTGCTCACATTCTAAAGTGTACAAGTTAAAAAAAAAGTTTTTACCAAAACTCAACTCAACCCTCTACAAATAAATATGAAATTCTTTTAAAACTTTTTGGCTTTTTCATCTCCATCAACTGCTAATGCTAGTGAACGAGCAGTCTCTCCTATCTGTATTGTAGTGCAAAGTCTAAATATGGGAGGAATGCTCTCTTTCGCCTTCTTTTAAGAATAGTGGGAATGTGGTGGTTAGGAGAGATAAATAAGATGAACGAAATGAAGACAGAATAGAAGTGAAAGATTATCTGTGAAATATTATATGTAGTAATTTCCAGTATTTAGATTCAAGGAAAACATAGAAAAAGTTGGACCAGGGCAAACAAGTATGGAATGGAATCGAATCGGTGTCCTCCTGAATGTTAAATTATAATTTATACTTCTAAGCCTCTAGACCGCGCCGCCCGGTGATTAACGAAAACATTTTGAACGCCAAACAACATTTAAACGATAATAGCAAATTAAAATAAAAAAAAAATAACAGAAAAGATTGACTCACCTTTACAACGGGGACTGTACTAACTGTTGTTGTAGACGTTCTCTGGTTTGTTTCATCTTTTGCACCACTTGCAGTAGTCGTAATCTCTGGCTGATGCTGGCCGTCCTGCATCTTACGCCCGCGAGGTTTCACGAATGCGGGGTCCAAATCATGGGGTGTATACGTCCGTGATACTTTTAACCGTGTGTCGAATCTTTCGAAGGCGTAGCTCTTCGTACAAATTGGGAATTTGGTCTTTGAAATTTTACTGAAAAGTCTTGCGGATTTATCAACGCGATATTCGCAAATGTAGATGTGCTCTTCGGGGGCGCCCAACGGCCTGCCTTTGCAGTACGTATTTAGATCCATCACCCAGCAGTGACCTATAATCAGCTCTACCGGCACTGCTTCATACAGCGGCACTCGCATCACCTCGTTTGGGAAGAATCTTTATATTGAAAATAAATAAAACATCACAAAAGAAATTTAAATCAGAAGTACACATATTAAAATAAAATATTGGACCAGAATAACAGAAATACTTGAGAAACGTAGTTGTACTTACTTTCTTGTAGGTTCGTGGAAAGTTTCATGGGGCCTTAGATAATGATGTCCGTAGGCATACCGTTGTCCCGTTTGTGAATCCTTCCACAATCTTTCGATTCTGAATATGTCCAATTCGGTATACTCAATTTCACCTATTGTTTTGTAATCGTGTTTCTTATCAGTGCCAGGGATGGGAATATCTCTTAAAACGTACACAGTATCCCCTTGTCTTAATTGCAAGTCGTCACGAAGAAGAGTCATATAAAACCTTTTTTAAAGAAAAAAAGAAACAAAAATTAAAAGTGACTGATAATCTTAAACTAAAGAAGCGTTTGTAAAAATATTAAAAAACTTACCTGTGCCCATGTTCTGTGTATTCATCTAGGGGTATTTCAAAGTCGACAACACGAGGAGTACACCGTTCGCAATGATAACTGGGAGCATTAGGATCAGCCTTGATGCACTCGCAATGTTGCCACACTAAACATCTCTCACACTGTATCATGAGTCCCTCGTCACGATACATACCACATATGCAGCGTATTACGTCCTCTTCAACATCTAAAAGAAAAAATAATGAAGTGAAAACTTAAATATCTGTTTTTTTCAATCATGTACATGTAGCAAAAACCAGTACCTACTTACTTTTATTCTTTCGCGATATGAACTTGTCCGACACTTTTTCGCCAAGTACTTCTTCAAGCTTCGTGATGTGCTCCTGTTTTGCTTCCTGATACGATTTCTTCAGCCTGGTGGCGGCTATACCTGTTTCAGATGTACGTCCGAAGTATTTCACGGCGTTGTTAAACAAGCGCATCATGTCGCAGTCGAAGGAGTCGACATATTTGTAAACGCCTGTGGCAATGTTCTGCTCGATAGTTGTCAAATCTATTGGCTCAGTAATTCGGGCATAATACTCAGCCAGTTTTCTACGTGACGGCAAGGTGACAAAGGGTGTGCACAGGGCTTCACCATTTTCATCTAATATTAAATACTCAATTATGTTTAAGCAGTATAAAAACGAAAAACTTTAATTCTGTTTTGTCCAACTTACCTTTGGCACTTAACACAACGCCACAGAGGTCCTTTAGTACTGCGGCCAATTTGGCGGTTTTGTTTAGTTCCGGATCGTCCTCGGCTTGGGCCAATCGACGCGTTTTCATGTTACGCGGTTGTCGGATTGCATTCAGATGATTAAGAAAAGTGCTTGGACTGTTTCGGTGGTCCGTTATGCTTCCAGAATTACTTGATGCACCTAGCCCGCCAGTCGGCGTGGAGTTATGTGTCCGCCCCACCGATGTCGTACTCGCTGAACGTTCACGCAATCGTCTAACCCGTGTCAAATTCCGTGGCAAGAAACAATGATGTTCACGTACATACGCCCGTTGTGCACCCGTCATGGGCTTTACCGTTGGCAATAATGGAACGATTGGTAACAACGTTTGACTGGCAATCACCGATGCTGCGGAATCCGTTACCAGATTGGTTGCTGCGGGAGTTAATACGTTGGAGGTGGTTTCTTTTGGTGCACTGGAAGATCTTTTGGCTCTGTTTTTACGTGGGCGACCGACCCGACCTGCAGCTGACGAGCTCTGTTGTCGTGCCCTTTGAGATTTACCTCCTATAACGCCTCGGCAGTTTTCGCTACCACACTTGCACACTTGCCCGTCCGCTGGGTTGAACAAGGAGAAATTGTAATCGTACGTAAGCTCTTCGCCGGATCGAATATCACGAAGGGCAAAAAGTGCCATTCTAAACTGACCGTTTACGGACCATTTCTGCATCTCACAGTTTGGCTCGCAAGAATGATTAACAAACCGACCTTCACCGCCCATTCTGTGACCATCTATAACGAGACCACCATCTAAATGGAGACAATAGTGGTGAGTGTCGTGCGCGTATCGAGTTGCCATACGCTCTTTAAACTCCTGATCTGACACGACCTCGCCAACGTACTCTAAAATGAATTCTCCCGCCTTAATTGCGAGATTGGTACGCACGCCCCAACCTTTGCTCTCGGTCATGAACTTTTCGATGCCCGGCGCCCATTCGTGCCTCTGTATTTTCTGATTTTGACACTTGTGTGTTCCTGGGCACTCAACATACACCAAACGATTGATGCAATCGTCGCCGCAGCCAGACAGAGGGGTGCAGTTACACGCTTGCGTCTCGCATGCACCCATCGCTGTTGACTTGACGTTATAAACGTTGGTTCGTATTTTGCGGTAGTTCCAGGATGGGACTATGTCTCGACCGGGCAGTTGATTGTGTACGTGTTGCCACCAAAGATCGTAAGGTAGCTGAAAAGGCAATTTGCGGCATCTCAAAAATTTACCACAATGATATGGAGGGGGTAAAAGACCGTAGCGATGCTCTTCAGGTTTGTAGATTAACTTACTATTCGCCGCTTCAGTTCGCCTTTGACGAACAATTTCACTAAAATAGAAACGGATAAAATTAAGTTTGAAAACCACATATTTTTTATCTTATTAACATACTCATCTTCTTTGTAATAATCGGAAAAAAGTCCGGCAACAAGGTACCGTTTCCTCCATCTAGGGGCCTTCCTGTTGTTCTTTTTCGATTCATCACTACTAGATGGTGAAATATCCCTTAGACGTCGCTTATGAATCACAAACTTCGACGAGTCCTGCTGTTTTCTGGAATCAATTGTCCTAGAAGGTCTGCGGCCTCCTCTGCTCCGTTCCAGCCTCTCTTCCAAACTTAAGTCGTCTAAGTCCCCATAACTTTCATACATGGGATCGGCTTTTATCCTTTTGCTAGCATGACTTAACACACTGTCAGATGTTTCGGAAGATACACTTTTATCTCTCTTTTCTTGTTTAATACTAAGCCTGCTCAAAGGTCGTTCTTGTTTGACATTAATAAAAGCTATGGGTTGAACTCCTGGAATATCACTAGACAAATGAAGGGGTGGCTTTTCGTCAACATTTTTAACACTTTCTACAGCAGAAAGATTGGCAGACTTCTGTAGTTTCTCCAATAAAACGTCTGAGACAACAACTTTTTCTGTTCGCTGCACAAACGCCGAGTATTTTTCACCTTCTAGTGGAACACGATCGCAAACATTTGTCTTGACCTCTAAAAGTTGCGTATCTGCAGCAGGAGTTGTAATAGGAATTTTGTCGTCTGTGATAGCGAACGGTTTTTTCTTTTTCTTTTTTACGGTAGGAAAACCGGTTCGATTAATTGCTCTTCTTTTACGAATTTTCTTTTTCGTACTTTCGTCGTTTTCTGGGGACTGCCTAACTTGTAATGTATTTACAGCCAATTTAGTTGACATATCTGAAAAATAATAAAATAAATTAATTATTTCTGTAATAATAAATATTTTAATAAGTTCCTACCTTCTTCAACACTTTCTTTTTTTAATGCAACGTTTTCTTTGTTGGTTTCGATAGTTGTTGACGGTATGTGAAGTTCCAAGTCGACAGTAGGCATGAAAATTCCTGTGGGATTTTCGGCAGTTATTGAATCAAGTTTGTCTACATCTGGAGCTTTAACCTTTTTACATACTGGGGATTTTATGACTGTATTGCGTACTGTAACAACTTCCTCGTTCTTTCCTGTATGCTCTTTTTTCTTTTTTTGACTCATGTCTGTAGAATTTCCACCCTCTTTCGATACAGTATTTATTTTTGATGCTAAATTGGAAGTTAGGTCCTCAAGACGGTTCTTTTTTCGCGTAATAATTTGGGCGACTATCTCATCTTTCGCCACTTTCTTTGTTCCAGATTCGGTTAATTTCTTCTTCATCTTAAGTTCGAGCACCACATTTTCTAAAGAGGTTTTACTTTTGGCAAGCTTTTCATTAATTTTGACGTCGTCTTCAGAACTTTTATTTTCCAATACATTGTTATTATTCTTCACTTCGAGCCAGTGGCGTTTCTTGGGAGTTGTGGCGGTTAAAGGCACATTTGACTTTTCTTCTAAGACGGGGCTGACGCTCTTATCTACTTGGGGTTTAGAATTAGCCACGTTGTTATTATTGTTGTGTGAATACCGGGTGATAGTAGCTTCAATAGCTTCATCAATGTGAGTCCCTACTTTGGCCGATTTCGAGACGACTTCATGAGTTGCTGCCAGGTTTCCGTTAAGGGTGGAAGATTCAGTGGGAGCAATCTCCGCATTCGGTTCGTTTTTAACAGACACAGTCGTAGTCACTGTGGAATTTTTGGAAGACGACGATGACTTGGACTTGTCTACATTAGATTTACACGCTGCCGCCGAAACTGGGTGCTTTCCTTCTTTACCTTGAATGTCTCGTTTCTTTTCATGCCCCTCAGAGGATCCATTGAGATCTGCTTTGTTTTCACTGTGCACATTAGCAGATAAGTGATAATGGCGTTTCTTTAATGGTAGTCTTTGTTCATTGGGAGTGGTTTCTTTGTCAGTAGAACTAGCAACATTGATTTTCTTCTTTTTTCGCTCGTTATATTCTGATATTTTCCGCTTTTTCGTTGACTTTTTAAGGGCTTTAAAGATCTCGGGTACGTTTTCTTTTGCAGATTTTTGAGGGCTAATGCAGCACAATTTAACGAAATCGGCAACGAGTTTTTCAATTTCCTGGTCGAGTTTTTGGTCTTGATTTACTGTTGCGACGTTCAAGGCATTTACTGGTTTCAATATCCGGAATTTGCATTTCTTATGTTTCTTGTGTTTGTGTTTACTGTGCATTAATTTTGCGTTTTTAAACGTAGCATATCGAACTTCGGTTTTCGTCTTGGCACTTAGAAGAGGCCTGACTCCACTCTTGGTGTTACCTTTTGTTCGAATCTTCCGCTTTGACGGGTGTTTGTTATTAATATCGAGACGTTCACTTACTCTTTCACATATTTCACGTAGAAGAATTGATTTAGATTTTTTTTGAACTACCGTCGTTTCTTTTACATTTCTTCCAAAATTTTTATTTCTACTGTTATCACAGGTGGTTGTTATTTTATCATTTTGACCTTTCTTTTTGTTATTGTTATTTGATTTAGCATCTAATTGTTTCTTTACTATTTCATTGGGTTTGTCAGGCGGTTTGACCTCTTGGACAGAGCCAGATCTTTGTTTGGTTGGCCTTCCTGGGCCTTTACGTGTCACTGGGGGTCTTCCAGCTTTTCGCCTAGGTGGATACAAAACCCTGTCCGCATTACCGTACAATACTCTATCGAAACTGTTGGAAGTAATGGGTATTTTAGATAGTTCTTTGATTTTTACACACCTCTGTCTATTTTGCGTAATTTTCAAATTAGAACCTCTTGTGTTAAAAGAAACTCTGGCATCTCGTTCTAAGTGCTTATTATTTTCTAACGTTTCTTTCTTTTTCTCGCCTTCCTGAATATGACTTACTAATTTGTGTTTAACGTTTGGCGGGCAAGGGCTAGGTTCAGGGCTTGAGATGTGGTCTGAACTATTCTGGATACCTGAGTCCGGCGAAACGTTTGGATTTCCACAGAAATCCAAGTTTAACGGCTTCAAGGGTGCCAACGTTCCTATGTCATCACTTTTTGCAGAGGAATTAGAGCATTTTTTAGACTTTGAACTAGGTTTCTTAGGTCTTCCACGTTTTCGTTTTGCTAAGTCCAAGTCAATGGAAGAATTTTGTGGTGCATCGCATGTTGTCTGCACTGTGGGGGCTGAAATACCCATTAGATCTGTTGAAGCTGGAGGCAACGACGACGGAGTATTCAACAATTGTGTTTGGGCTACGAATTGCTGTAGCAAACTGTTGGCATAAAGGGTGTGAGGATTGAGAGGTGTTGGAGGTTCCGAATCGCTAGAACTGTCGGTGGTTCTTTGCAAAAGTGCATTAACTGCTTGCTGGGGAAGCTCCATATCAGACCCTGAACCATCTCCTTGAACAATCAAAGGAATATACGATAACACTTAAAGAAAACAACGTCTAACAAATGATATAGATCACAAAATGGGAAAAGACAAAAGCATAAACAAAGGAATAAATAAGAAAGTGTTGCAAACAAATAAATGATATAGACCTGTTTGTGGGGAGCTTTTATCAGGACGACAGTCGAAAGCACCGAACGCATCACACTCTTGTTGATCTGGTAGGATGGCGGCTAGATCTTCTTGTCTGATTTCCTGAAGGCTCAAGGAGGCCAACATTTTGCTATCAGAATCGGAACTCTCATTATCAGAACTTGAACCAGTGGAGCCCCGAGATAGCGGCAAAGAAGCCATCTAAAAAACGTATATAAAATAAACTCTGCAGCTCAATATTTAATACAAAAAGTTACATATAACTACAGTATGTACTAAATTTCATTATTAATAATATCATATGGGGACTATAATGTAAATGCAAGGGTTGTGTTTATCCTATCGAAAGCTCCATGAATATAATCCTTTAGGATCACCTGTAGTAAACGTTTTTTTTTTTTCAAACGATACTATGCAATCTGATTTATGCGCAATTCTGAAGACAGCGCGTGACAGCCGGACGCCGACGCTTTTTCGACGCCTCGGAGAACACCCACATAGAAACGCGTATATCCACAAATCGTACACAGATCACGAAGCCCTACGCCATTTACCTTGCACTCGGCACCGAGAGTCGGATCGATAGGCCTCATGGATTCCAAATATACACACGCGTCAAGGGTTGCAGTGTTTTTACAACTACAAGGGACGATAATATTCCCAAAAGGACTCGGAAAACCGACGCCTAGTATGCACGAAAACAACTACAAACGAAAGTAGGATTTATCGAGATTAGGTAGTAAGTAGTTAGTTATAACGGACATTCAGTACAATCTATATAATAGGTACAACAACCCTTCTTTAACTTCCTCCACCACTTCTTCGGTTAACTGTTAACGCGTGTTTTATGCAAATTGGTAGCTTGTACGAATGTGCGTATAAAAGGAAGCAAGTGCTTTAGGGGGAGAGAAAAAGACAGGGATAAAACTGAAAGGGACAGGACGATCGTAGGGTGTCGGTATATTCCCATGCCCGTGTGCGCTGCTATAGCACAATTGCGTGCTATAGGGCAAAGGCGCCAGGTGTATGATGGGCCCGCACCTTCGATGTATGTATGGTTTAAATGGTGTACATAGTTCTAGCTAGCCACCAGGTGGTTAAATAAACGCAAGGTGTGGACAATTTTACAAGAAATTTACACGAATCTAATATAATGTCAATAATTATAATAAAAAATAATTTAGAAATTACTGTTTCATTCCGCATTAGTTTTTATCATCGTCGATAAAACGAGGGTACAAATCAGCATGTTATTAGATCATACCCACCACAAAATACTTTTGTTAGATTTATTTACAATTTCATTATAGTTTCTGGTCAAATGAAAAGTTTCCCAACAATCATCATTATATGTCTTCCTATTTTATAGCTATTAGAAGACTATTTTAATTTTTACGTTTATTCAATCAAAAACATTGTTAATTTCAACTCCATTTCAACTTAACATACCAATGTTGTACTTATTACTTGTTTTTAGAAGCGAGCACACAAAATCCAATTAAAAACGCGATTTGAATGAATAAATGTGGCAGCAGAATAGCGTGTGTAGGTGGTGATGTAATGCTAAAGTTTATTGTCCCGATGATATTTCATATTCGGTCGAAAGGCGGAGAATGCGAATGGAAAACGATATGGCATTACAAAGAAAAAGGAGGAAAATGTCACACAAATTTAGATTAGCATATCGCTCTCGAACACTAAATGTTTCAATCTTTAATGGCTAAGAAAAACATTAACAGCGACTTCAAGATTGTGTACTTAGTACAATATCTGCCAATATTTTATTGTTTTATCTTTTACAAAACTTATGAAGCCTTTGCGCAGATTTACTTGGGCGCGTTACAATGTATTTCTTCTTTACCTGGCGACCTTGACTTCCAGGTGTTGTTCAATTGATATACATATGTCTACCTAAACGTATATATATGAAGACTTCAACAGAAACAAGAAGGAAAAGTAATCAATCGAAGAATAAGAAGATGACGAGAAGAATTTCCAGAGAACGTCTAGGATTTGATAAAATTACTACCTATAAACCAATTACCGATAAAAAAAATTTAAAGTCATCGTGGGTTTTACATAAGATGATAAAAAATAAACAAAAAAGCGCAAGCTGAGTTGAGTCTTAAAAATAAATAAGAATTATGTTTAGTGTTTTATTTAAAGATAAGTTTTAAACACCGAAAGCTCAGGAGTTCAAAGCTATGTTCGCTCTGCTAAATGTCAATCCTTATTAACCGAGTTCAAACGTAAAATACTCTAAAGTTAACCACTGCGACAAGCTCATTTATAACGGGATAAAATTCATAATCAATAAAACGCTCCCTCAAATATATCCACTTTAAGAAAAACGAAACGATAGAGAAAAAGCTAACATTACAGTGGCAGATGATAGTCAGAATCAATTCCAAAGAAGGTTACAGGTCAGGATAACAAAGAAATCTCTAAAGCTTGATTGATAAGACTTTCAGTTTGTAAGTGGATATAAATATAAAGCTAAGATTTTCGAAACTAAAGGGCTGTTCGTAAATTAGGTAAAGCAAAATTAATCAATTTTTGACTCCTCTCCACACTAGTAATGGGACCCCAACTTGACCTCTCCCCCCTCTTCACTTTGTTACGTAATACGTACATTGTAAAAGTTTCAGGCTTCACTTAAAAAAGTTTTTTTTTTAATTTCCAATGATTCAATTTTAGATAAATTCTAAAACCCTTACAAGAAGGCCCGAGTGGACTCCCCCATTCCCAATTAACGTTATATAAAATCCCAGCTTCGAATAAATGGTTTCAACTCAAATACTTATAATTAAAGAAGCAAGTCAAAGAAGAACAATTTGGAGAGAAATTTAAAGAGAAAAGTATAAGAAAGTTGAAGAGGTAGTGTATTGTATTAAAGGCATTCATTGAGTTTAGTAAGCACTATAAACCAAAACATTTTGTGTAACAGCAACTAACATAGGTAATAAAAAATTGAGTATGTGTGAGTACTCCTATACCACGGGTGGAAACAGGGATAATTACCCATGCGCTAAGGATACGGTATTGACTTGCTGATATTTAGAATTAACGTAAATGCAGTAAGAGGTTTATTGCCTGTCTGGTATGTATGTAAGTGCACGTTTTAAAACATGCACCCAAGGTCGTTACGTGGAAGCAGAAAGAACATAAAAGATCCAAGAAGAAAGGCCACCATTCCGTTTGCAATAACCTGTGCAAGTGTATTTATTATAACCATGTACCTACATACAAGGTATACGTACAAGTAAATAAGTATGCAAATGACCGGGCACTTACAAAGGGGCATGCTTTGAAACAGCGGAAATTCGTAAAAAATTTTAAATGACATCACGAACAACGAAACGATTGGATCCATTTAGGGACGCAATACACACAAGAAATACAAAATGATCAATAATTATCCTTAGAGTTCGACGTTAAAAATAATATCAGTTCCTTTGCATTGTTATCTCGGGGTTTAGGAAACGTAGTACATCTACTATTCGAATTTTAAAGATGTCGCGGGGTAATTAAGGACTAACAAGGATAATAAAAGTTAAGTAACCGCGGGGCTACTGTAAACTAAGAGAGGAGAGCAATTATCGGAAAAAGAAAAAAGCATCAATACTCGCCTGCAAAATTTATTCGAGAAGCAGACCATAAATTTTGTATAAAAGATTTCTCAAGTAGGGATGCGAAAACATTAACGTAAACAATTTACATTTACCATTACTTCTGTAAAAAGGAGTAATGGTTAGTGTGAATTCATTCTAGTACTCTTGAAAAAGGCATTAGTCAATTGTAAGCACTTTCATTAGTAAGCAAAAGGGAATAATTAATGGAAAATATTTCCTTTACAAATCGAGAATTAAGTTAATAAATTACATATACACAAATAACAAAATTGCTGCGTAAGGTCCCGGGTTCGATTCCCGGCGGGGGTGTGACAACAACAACAATTTTTCCCTCATTAATTTGAGGTAGTTTGTAGTGGGTAAATAATAACAGATCGAAAAAATGATTTCAAATTAATATTGCATAATAAATTACAAGTTCAAAAGTCTTCTACTTGTGATTGACACTGGTTTCTGGACACCTCATGGGTAATACAGATTTCTACAGAACGGAAAACAATTCGCGGCGTGAATATCTCGGAAAAAATAAACTAGCAACATCTAACAAGAAGCAGCGGGTTTTCTTAATTTCATTACACGATCCATTTTAATAGGCACTGATCACAAGCATCTAATTCTGACATGAAAGAAATGCTGTAGTATAAAGAGTCGGAAATATGTACGTGTGGTAAACAAGAATGCTCTCATATTACAAAAAAAAGTGTAACAACACTTCCAAATTAGCAATTCGTAATAATAATAATAATATAAAAAAAAGGCAGCCATCGACATTCATCGTAAGTACTGCGGGCGATTGACAAAAACAGTGGCCAATGAACGGGCACAAGGTTGAGTTTGCGAACATTGCTCGGTGTTTTTTTTTTATGTGAGAATAACACATCGTCATCTCAACAGTACCGCAGTAATTCTGGAAGATTGGCATCTTTTTCTCGGCGTTAATAACGATAATTAGATAATTACAAATTTAACGGCAACATCTCCTGTCGCAAATCCTTCCTTCATCAAATCTGATACCTACAATATTTTAAAAGTGATTTAATAACAAATAAAAATACTAATAATTAAGTGTGTAAATGAAAATAATAAATAAATTAACGTATAAGGATGAAAAAAGCAAATAAAATTCAATACACAAGAAAATCAAAATAGAGAACAAGATTTAAAAACTTTTTTTTATGATAAACTAAAAAAGTACGCTAAAAACTCTTAAAAACAAAAAAGTACAATAAATCTTTACAGGTCGTTAGAACAGCTCAAAACCAAATACCAGTCATACATGTAAAACATCTAATGTATTGTGCCTATTACAACATGAGAGTGTTTGTGCGGTTAATATGCGCATAAATTACAATTCCACGCACACAAATGCTTTTTATTGTCTGTTTTAAATGTATTAACAACATTATTGTACCTTTACATGTCGACGAACGAAATATGCAAATTAATCTGATAATCATCCTCAGTGCTTCGACTATTACATTCATTGTCAGTCAGTAATGCTATTGATACATACATCAATCACATTATCCCTTGTAAGACCTAACGATCGAAGATACAAAAATTTGATAA